ATTTGAGATCCTGTCTGTCTGATTCTACAGTCTACATTTTTAGCCACTATGCTCTACCATTATAAAGTTAAAGATATTGACAAGTTTCTATTTATTCTATGACTTACTTCCCTTATTAGACAGTAAAGACCTTCCCATGTCTCTTAGTGGTTGAGGTTAAGGGGCTACAGCTACACTGGCAAAGAAAGGAGCAGGTTAAGTTCATTTAGAGTGCTGGACTGTCTCATTCTGGTTTGGACAGTATCCCAAAGAATACGGTTGCTAACATGGTCTTCAAAACACTGTGTTATCAGGCATTATAATAAAGGATTTCTGATTATGTGAAATGCAAATCTAAACAGAGCAGGGAACAAAAGGAAGTCCCAGATTTATAAAGGTAACTTTGGCAAGGACTAGAACCCTATCAGTTAACCCCTTTAATTACAGTTCCTGCTACTAGAAAAAAGTACGAATAGTGTATGGATGACTAATCTCACCATTATTAATAAGCAAGATGCAGAAATGGCCTGGCAGGTATGAGGCCCTCATTAGAATTTCCTTTGAGAGTGGGGGCAGCAACCAGAATAGTAACATTAAAAAAGATGGGACAAGTCAGACTGCAAGAATTCTTAGGTCCCAACAGTACCAGAACTAAACAACTAGTGCCACCTGGAGGTCAATGTGCAAACTGTGATAATAGCAGGGTACACCTGGGGTAAACCTTTATTTATAACTCCCCCTCTCCCTAAACATTCAAGTTTAGCTCCCAAGCCCAACATTTTCCAGTCACACAGTCAAAGCCCAGAGGACAGAACTACTCACTTCCACCAGATGGTTGTCTGGCCCATAGAGGTCTTTGTCCAGTTCAATCACCAAGGACTTGAAAAAGGAAGAGAACTTCCTTTTTTGTTTGGTGGCATCATATTTGGACAAGGCTGACTAGAGCAGAGAGGAGAGGTCGTTAGAAAAGGCCAGGAGAAATTCCCCATGACAAAGTCCCATTACAAGAGAACCCACAACAACAATGGAAAAAACTCAGAAATATCTTCTGAATATCTTTCAGGAGATGGCAAGGTAGGTGTCTGTGGGTCTGAACAAGTCATGACAGCAACACAACCCTGAAAAAGCAGCCTGTAGTATGTAGTCATTTACCTGCCCAACCATTTCCTTTGTGAAATGAGGCAAGTGAAGCCAAACCACTGCACCTAACAAAGGGAGTCTGCACAGAAGAAAATCTGACTCTAGAGTGAAATGAATCACAGGCAATAAGCAGCCAGGACAAAAACAGCTTTATTTTGATGGAATGATACCACCAGCAGATAGACTGGACCTATAGAGGGAAGAAGGGCACTCTGACACTGCCTTGGTTCTCCTGCAAAAGTGGCATTCAAATTAGCTTGCCTGTGAACAGCTAACAATAGCCAGAGAGTGTTAAGGGAATGAAAGGTGAGCTTCCCTAAGGAGCTTCTGGGGTGGGAAGTTTGGGGGCTAACACATGTCAGCTGATGCTCCCCATGAAGCAACAAAGAGCCTGTAAGAGAAATCTCACTTAAACTTTGAGATGTCGCCAGTGAAAGAAAGTTAGGAAGATGGAGATGCCACAGTGGGAATCAAGGACCTCAAAGACTCAAAGAGGAAAGCATGGCCTCAAATGCTAAGTGAAAACTCACTTGATTTAAAAAAAGGAAAGAAAACCCTAACTGAATAATCTGCAGACACTGCTAAGTCCAATGGTCAGCAGCATCAGGAGGAAGGTAAACAAATCAAATCCCTGGACAACAGGTTCCCAATATGATACCACAGTGAGGGTGTGGGAAGTTGTGGGAGCCAGACATAAAGAAGCATTGTCTTTTAGGGCAGGGAACATAGTGACCCTCTCCCTGATGTTCCCAGCAGGAGCTGTGAGCACCATTCAGGCTCCCTGCCAACCAGACAATACTGCTTGTTCCAGCACCTCCCACCCTAGATGCCGATCACGGTGGGCCTTGAACTCACATCCTCCAGGAGCCGTCCTTCTACCCGAAGTTCCCAGGAAGCCACTGTCCCTTCCCCATCCTCAGCATCTGACTTAGCCGGATTGAAAGTGTTAGAAATGAAAATTCGCAGCTTCCGTTTTTGCTGAGAAAGGCAGAAACAGGATTGAAGGTGGGGCTTCAGTGGTTTGATATTGAAGACAAGGGTGTCCCCAAACCCCAAATTACTCCTATCAGACTGGCTTATTGTCTACCCAGTTCCTGGGGTGGGTGGATGGAGAGTTCATCTAGAAGAGGAGTACAAGCCATTGGCCTGGGTGCAAGTGAATACATGGGGATGCCGTGGACAAACTCATGCAAGGTGCCAAGTTCCCAAGGTGGCAGAACAGTTAACAGCAAAAACAGACAGGGTACACTTCTGGTGCAAGAGGTATCCAAAGACCCTCCCCCTTGGCTGTTGTGTTCTCATGCTAATGTAATTCCCAGTTGTAGGCAGAAGAGAGAGATGTAATTTAAATGCCAAGGAGAGCTGTGCTGTGCCTTTGATTTCTCATCCTAAGCTTGTTGAGAGTTCTCAAGTCCTCTCCTTTGGCTCTCTGCCTTCTGTGTTACCTTGATGGGACGTTTCAAGGCCTCCTGGATATCTAGCCGTTTCCTCATGATAGTCTGGTCCAGTTTCCTTTCAAAAGCCAAGAGATCCATATAGGCCTGGGATTCTGGGACCAGTTCACGAATCTTAGAAACACAAAGATATCATTGGGATCTAGAGCTGACCATCCCTTTTCTCAAACTCACACCCTCAAGAAAACCTACAGCCTGGACTCACCCTCTGAGGTAGAATTTTGTCAGCCATCTTCTTTTTCTTTGCACTGTTCGAAATAAATTCTGTTATCAGGTTGGGATGGAACTACCCAGAACACGACGACAGGCTGTCAGCACTCCCATTTATAGTAACGTGAAGGGACTACAATGTTTCTCTCAAAGACAATCCCCCTCTACTCCCCACTCCCAACCACAACCAACAGGATGCATTCTCAAGAATGAGCACCTGCTGTCACAGCACCACCATTTCTTAGTTCAGGTACTCCCACCACCTCGGTCCACACAGGCTCCCCCTCCTCCCTCCCTCTACCCTCCCCCAGATCAACTTACTTGTGGTTTCGATTCTGGACCGCCTGCTGCTGGACCTGCTGGATCTGCTGAGGCGCAGGTCTCTTGCGGGACTGGTCCATCCCTGATTGGGCCAGGCCAGGCCGGACTGAAGGGTTCCCCCCATAGCCAGGGGGTCCCATGGAAGGTCCCTGAGGTGTCATTCGGCTGCCTGGCAGTATACCTGGTCTCTGTAGAGGGGAGAGGACCAGAGAGACCATGACTTCCTCTACTAACCCCAGTAAGAAAGAGAAGGTGGGAGATGCCTGCATACTTTAAATGAAACAAGGCTAGGCAGGGATGGGATGCACAATAGAAAAGCCCAATGCCTCTCTGAAATATAGATAACTGCAGCTTCCTCTTCTCCAGTCGTGACTCCATAGATGACTGTCCAAAAGCTAAGAGCAGCCGGATTATACTAAATCTCCCCAGTCTATTTTGTATCTGACACATTGGGCATCTTCTCTAGTCCCACATTTATTCAGATAGTCCTGCCAGCTACTGTTTTAAAAGCTGACCTCAATTTGCCAGCTACACCTTCTGTGTCCTTCTGGGCACTGTAGCAGTCCAAGCCCTTTTGCGCCTCAGCCTTCACATGCGCACCCTTGGCTCCACTTCACCTCATTCTATACCCTGACTCCCCACACAAACAATACCCCAGGAGCAGGTGGATGCTATCTCGGAGTCCCAATCCCTCGCAGGGAAGTCCCGCCAACTTCTTCCCGCAGCCCTGTCACTCCCAATACCCGCGCTCGGCCCCGCCCCCGGCCCGCGCGCCCCTCCTCCTGCCCCCACTCACCGGATAGGCCGCTCCGGGCATCGGGGAGCGGTATAGACCTTGACCCGGCGCCGGGCCCATTCGCACGGGAGGCCCCGGAGTCCCGCCCGGGCCCAAGGCAGCTGCCGTGCCAGCCCCTCCAGAGGCCCCAGTGCCGCCGCTTGGAGCCACAGACTGGAAACCCGCCCGAGCCGCCATCTTCCCCGGAGCCGCTGCCGCAGCTGCACAAAGAACCGGAACCGGAACTCCCCCCGCCCCCCGCGCGCCCCCCGCGCGCCCGCCTGTCCTCCCGGCCGGGCGGCCCGGGAGGCTCAAGGCAGCGAGAGTGTGGGCTAGAGGCGGGGGGAGACTAGCGGAAAAGACATGCTGACCACTCCCTCCAGCCTTCACGGTCTGGGAGGGAAAACCATAGAGACGAGCTCTGAGGTAGAGAGGCCTTGTGAGCGGGCGCCCCCAGGCCGACGGAGGAAGACAAGGACCTGGAGAAGGGGGACCACAGCCTCGGTCCCAACGCTCTTGATGACGAGGGTGATGGAGTAACAGCTTCTGCGGCATCTTGGTGCAGCGCACTTAACTTTTCAGAGCCCTTTGTTTTTACTATCCTTCTCTTACTGCAATAAGCCCATGGGAGTCTTAAGAGAACACATTGTTTATTCCATTTTACAAACAGGAAAACTGAACTCGAGTGTAAATGACTTAGCAAATGTCAACCAACAAGTTAGCAGTAAAGCCAAAGCCTAGAATCCAGATTTCTGGCTCATACCCTGGGTCTCATTCCACAGATAGAGTGCATCAATAACTACCTCACGCTAGAACTTCAACCCAACTTTGTCCCAGACCTTCAACATAACCTTCCTGATTTTATTTTTAATTTTGACCCTGTACCCTCTCCAAAGAAATCTCTGAGCTAGACTTCTTTTGGGGATCTTTGTTGACTTTGACCCCTCCCTCCTTCCCTGCCCAGTGGTTCAACCCATTCCTGGTGATATGGTCAGCCTGTCCCATTCCCAGGACCACCAGGTCTCTCTGCACAAACCTCCTTACTCCTCCTCTAATTGGTCCCAAGCCAAACAGCTCTAGGCACTTAGTGGGAAGGCCTAAATACTATTCAAATAAGAGAAGAATGACACTGAAGAGGAGGTGGTTGAAACCCAGTTTATTAGACCAGAGGCATGCGTCATCCACAGCCCTGCCTTGCTATTCCCTAACTGGTGCACACCCCTTGGACTGGCTTCTTTTTCCCTCCGGAGAGGTCAAATCTCTAAGGAACTCCTAGGAACCAAGAGTTCCCAAAGATGCTAAGCGTCACTCTCCAGCTCCAGGCCAATGCACAGGTGACCTGCCACAGGTTCTATTCTGGGGTTGGAGACCAAGAGGCAGCTGGGCAGACCCGGGAAGGGTCAGGGCTTGAGCTGGCCTGAGAAGAGTGCCTGGTGGAGGGGGCGCAGCAGATCCTCTACCTCACTCTTTTCTCACTAAGGTAGGAAGGGAGGGACAGAACAGCAGAGCTTTCAACTTCCCCTCTCTGCCTCTCTTTCCTCCCACTACCAAATAGTACCTCACCAGAAAATATAAGTGGTGGGCTTGGGTATCAGGTGAGGGAAGGGGACTGGGCACCCAGAAGAGGGGGAAAGCCACAGACTCAGGACCTCACCTTCTGCCTGTCAACACCCCACTTCTCCAAGTGCAAAAGTCACCAATCCATAGCTCCATCTGTCTCTGACATCCTGGGCTTAATGTGAAGAACAGATCTCCATCCCCTGGGTAGGGGTTCTTTCGGTAGCAACCCCTTCCCTAAGGAGGCCACAGTGAACCAGGCAATGAGCACTGGGGTAGGCTGGAGCAGGGAAGGGAATGTTAAGGCTACAGGGAGGGCAGAAGGTGCCCAGGTTGGAGAAAGAGGGTGAGGCCAGTAAGAGGCAGAGCTTGTGATTCACAGCTTCCTTTATGTCGCCACCGAGACAGTGCGAAGGTTACAATGCGCGTGTCGTCTCCTTGTGCTTCTCAGAGGGATGTGTGTACACAGTACAGACACCAGGGGAGAGAGTCCAATTCTTTATACAGGCGAAGGCATTCAGAGATCGGGGGGAAGGCAGAAACACAGAAAGGGGAACTTGGGGTGCAAGGATGGTTCTTAGAGACAAGAGGGAATGGGGTAGAGATGGACAGAGTTAGGGGAAAGTATATACAGAGATATAGCAATATAGAGTCTGTATCATATAGAAATAGAAAATGCAGATGAGGCTGTTGAGAGAAGCAAATGAAGTTGGGTAAGAGGACTTGGGAGAGTTCCATAAGAAAATTTATGGATGTGGCCCTCTACAGGGGACCCTGGGAGAAGGACCAGTGAGGTTAGGCACCAGTGCCCCTCTCCCTGAGCTGGAAGTCAACCCACTGGATCTTTGATGGGATGGTAGAGGAGGACTGCCTCTTGGGATTTCTCTCCAGTAGTTCTAGGGTGGGGGGTGGACTTGTAGGTGTCTGGAGGTGGCCTACAGCACCAGGGCCAGGTCTTGTCCCCATCTCCACTTCTTCAAGGGATCCCCCACCCCCACCTCCCTAGACACTGCACTTGGTGTGTAGGGAGAGATAGGTTCTTAGTTCCTACCTGGAAACTTGGGACTGGGGGGAGTCACTGGGCCAGAGGGTTTCTTAAGGCTGGGGAAGCCCCTCCCCCAACTAACCCTCCCCTTGAAGGTACATTCTCTGATTTGGGGCCAAATTCCAAGCCCTGAAGATCTCCTCCATGCCCCGCTGAGGGGGGCTTTGATGACTGGTGACAACAGAATGTAGGCGGACACTCAGATGACAGACAGCCAGACAGACAGAATTCAGGCCGGGAGCTGGGGGAGGCAGCATGGAGCAGACAGGGGCAGCCTGAGGTCACTTGCCCCATTCTCTCTTTTTAATTTTTTTTAGATTAGTTTTGTTAAAAATAAAAAGAGGGACAGAGGCGGGGAGAAGACTCTATGGTAAGACACCTTCCTCACCACAGACAAGAGGAAGGAACTGCCCGGGAGTGGGGGGCTGCCTTGGGAGGGGGGAGTAAGCCACCCAGATGTTGGGGGGGCAGCTGGGCCCCTTGCACTCCTAGCCCTCCCCATCTTGGCCTTTGGTACAGTGGCCTGCGGAGCTCAGCAGGTAAAGTCCTCGAAAGTGCCTCGGGCCGGATGGTGAGGTAGGATGTTGGCAGCGTACGTCATCCCAGCAGGATGGCCCCGGAGGCTCTCACACGGGTTCTGAGGAGATGGCACGGGACGGGACTGGTTACTGGAAGGGCCACAGGTGGCGCTGGGGTGTGGGGAAGGCAAAGAAGGAAAGGCAGCAAGGGGGGTGGCCCTGGGGTGGCGGGGGAGGGGGCGGGGCCGGAGGGTGCCCCTCTCTCGCTCCCTCACATGTCTTTTGACGTCATCCAGGCTGAGGGCCACGCCTTTGTCCGCGCTGCTCCTTTTGGCCTCCTTCTGGCACTTCCCTCGTCTGCACAGTTTGTGCTTAATGACCTGGGCCGGAGGTGGGGCGGTAAGTGGGTGGCCCAGCTGGAACCCCGCCCCCCGGGGCCCACCCCGGCGCCGCGCCCCCGCTCAGCTCACCTCGTAGGCGTAGTCAAAGAGCTCCAGCACCGTGAGGATGCTGGCCCCGATGAACAGCCCCATCTGGCCCCCAATGTCACCTGCAGGGGGGCACAGCAAGGTCAGTGGGATCAGGACACCGTGGGAGCGGCGGAGCTCCCTGGGACAGGGGCAGGCAAGTCCTATTTGCGAAAGAATGGACAGCCTTGGTACAGAAGGAGCACAAAATGATTCTGGAGGGTTTTTGTTTTCTTCTTCTTCTCTATGCTTTCGTGCATTTCTCTACTTTTCTAAAATGAATAGGTAATTATTTGGAAAAAAATAATTGCTTACAAAATGTCCCAACACTCTTATTCTCTGGGCAGATTTTCAAGGGCATATGAAATAAGTCCTGCTTTCATGCCCACCGGCCTGTCTCTACCACTTTGCCCTAATAAAGGACTCATCCCCCTCCCCACCAACATACAGAGACAACAGAGTTTGGGGAAAGGCCCTGGGGGGCTGGCAGGGAAGGAAGAGCTCATAGGAGAGGTGAGCAGCCTGCACTGGGTAGTAGGGTGTCGCACCATGCCCATGGCATGGGAAAAGGACAGATGCCATCAGCAGCTCACCCAGGAGCCCTGCAATCTCATAGGCCTTCTTCTGCTCAATGGTCTCATAGTTGAGGACTTCAAAGAATATGTCCAGCACCAGGATGTTCTCCCTGCAAAGGGGTTGGGGGAGGAGACCTAGGTTCAAGTCACATCTCTGTCCCTTACTAGCTAGGTGACCTGCGCGAGTTATCCTCTCTGAGTCTCAGACTGCGTATCCATAAAATGAGATGCTGATGGGGATATCTGCCTTTTAGGATTGTTCTGAGGCTTAAATGTGATGGCATATATGAAAAGACACTGCACCCTGGCAAATGTGAGATGATCCCAGTCACAACAGAGAGGACGAAGACAGAGGATGAAACAATGAGGAAAGAGAAAGAGGGAATTCCCGTGCTTGTTCCAGCTTGCTCTTCCCTCTGTGCCCAGCCCAGACTCTTTGGTTGCCTTCCCCATGTTCTCTCAACTTCCTCCTGTCTGCTGCCCGTCCCTACCAAAGCCCGCTCACACCCACCCTTGACAGTCAGAGCCCTTACCCTATGTACTGCTCAGATTTATTGAACTTCTTGGCCAGGTACTTGGCTGATGCTTTGCTGGGGATCTTGACCATGGACAGCTCCTTGCCATAGCGGGTCAGGTTGCAGGGCATTTCACACACACAGTACTCCTGGTCCTTCTCCACCAGGAAGTCTGCACCCAGCCAGGTGAGAGGTGCCAGTTGAGTGGTGCCCTTCTGCCAGCACCTTCCCAACATGCACATCCTGGCCCTATCCAAAGGGCCTCTGGGCCCCTTCTCTTTCTCTGACTTTTCACCCCAGGTCTGTGCCCACCCTGTGCTGATCCTCACCCAGCGTCCCCACGGATATTTTTTAATCCTATATTTCATCTCCTCAGGGCCCTTGAGGGTCAACCAGCTGATGCGCTGATGAGAGAGGGTGAGGGCCTCTCCCTGGTGACCCCGGTTCATTTTCTATAAGGGCCTCCAGAGATGCTCTTCCCAGCCTTGCTCAAGTCAGACACAGGAGGCTTCAGGTGAAGCCTGATCCAGGAGTTATTTGAAGCTTCTGGGAACTTGGTCTGAAACCCCTATGTAGGGGCTGGCAGCACCTCCTTCCCTTCCCCCAGACTTCCACAGGACAGGGGCGCTCACCCAGAGCAGGATCCGCACACTCCTTGTACTGCTCTGGAGTGCAGTACGGGGCATCCCCTACAGAGGAGAAAACACAGGGGTGTGGAATGGAGATTAAAGGGGTCCTGTGATGGTGGTGGTACTAAAGGCCTAGAAGATGGAAGCTGGTAGAGGATGAGCAGGACTAGACAACTCCCAGTCTGTCCCAGAGGTGACCACCCCACAGTCCATCCCTCCTGGACACTTCCCACCTACCCCTATGGATGAGATTGAGCCAGGAACTGGAGGCAGAGAACCAGAGCCATATGGGTATGGAATAGGGCTGGAACAGGGGTGGGGAGAAGCCAGCAGGTCTTGCTTCCATGGTGACAGAAGGTTGATATGCATGGGGAGCTGGTGAGGGGCAGAGCAGGCTGAGGGGTCCCAGGACTGTGTTTGGGGCTCTGGGACCTGACCTGGCATGTGCACCATGCGGCAGTTACAGTTCTCCACCAGGTAGCGTGTCTCACAGTCAATGCGGCAGGCGGTAATGCTGTAGGAGTCGAAGAAATCCAAGTCCATGGTAACAGCTTTGCAGGTACCCCATGGTGGGGGCAGGTAGATGAGCTGCTGGGAGAGCAGGAGAGCTGGGAGGGTGTGGAGACTTCTCCCCAAGTCACCGTGATGGACTTCTCTGGCAAGACATAGACCCCAGGAGTCCTGCCCCCTCTCCCTCCACAGCCTCTGAGGGTCTCTGAGTTTACAGAGCATTCCCATTCATTAGGTTACTCATGCTTCCAACTGGTCAGATTGCAACCCAGGCCTTAGCTCACCTGCCCTTCCTGTTATTGATTACCCACCACTCCATCTTGACTCTTCAACACCCCACCCCAGACCGGCCTTTGGTAGCCCTCTCACCCGCTGCTCCTGGCAGGCCACAAAGGTCTGGAACCCTGGGGCCACACCAAAGCCCAGCTGGTCAATGAAGGGAGGTTCGTCCTGACTATGGATCTGCACTTTGATGCCGGCTTCGAAGGACGTCTCATCTATGAGAATGGGGAGGAGATGGTGGTTGGGAAGACTTCTGACTCCCTGACCTCCTTCTAAGCTGGCTTCCTACCTCTCCTGGGAATAAGCGCAGCATATGCTATGCTTAGCCGCACAGATGGGAGCAGGGGAGTCTATGGTGCCCTCGCCCATGCCCAGCCTCCTTGGGTTTGCCAGCCCCTTGCTGCCCTTATGGCTCCTGCATCCTGCACTCTTCGTACCTGGCTCCAGTTATACATCTTGGTGTTCAAAATATTTCTCACTGTCTTAGATGCTCTCCATTTCTTGCCCTCCTTTTCTCCCATCTCCCCATGTCTCTCAGCCCCAAGGCCCCCGAGACCAGGCACCAGCCCAAGAAGAGAAGGAGTTACTTATAGAGTGAGTGGCAGCCACTGATGGAGAGGGATGGCTGGTCACCTTGGAGAGTAACTGAGCCAGGAAGGGGGAGCCCGAGAATCGTGAGTGTGGTAGGCAGGTCGAATCAGAGATGGAGCTGGTGATGCTGGGAGGAAGGTAGGAGAGCCCAAGCCCTGCCTCAGGTCCCACAGTAGAGCTTGGGAGACCCCTAGCAAAGGCTGAGGCCCAAGGCTGTGGGGAGGGGGCCCTGGGAGACGTGACATACCGGTCTCCCCCCATACAGGCAGGTACTCATCCTGCTGGATGTCCAGCATGATCTCCAGCCCATTGCCTGTCCCACCCTTCATGGTCTTCAGCCGCGGACGCCCATCTCGGCCCGAGTTGAACGTGTAACACTTTCCGTACCGTGTGAAGACCTGGTGGGGACAGAGTGGAGAGCCTGAGAGTTCTGCCAATGCCCTGACACACCAAGGGCTGTCCCCAGGCCGCCCAGCTGCCAGAAGCTAGACACCCTACAGAAATGACTGTTCCTATGCGCCCCATTCTACCTCCTCCTTCCCACCCATTCTCAGCTCCTCTCTGTCCTGGAGAGCTAAGCTGCCTGTGCCCCTTGGCCACCTAGATGGGCTTCAGGTTGCATCTGGCCAATGGGACGAAGCAGTAAGAGATCAGAGGGCAGAAGGAGGGAGAGATCAGGGTATTTCTCCTCACCACCCCAACCTGTCTGAGTGCTTCGGCAGTGGCTTAGGGGCTCTGTGATTACAGATCCTGCCGGAGGGCTTCCTCCATAGCACCCTTGCCTCCTTGTGCCCCTTCAGCCTGTATGTGACAACTTCCCACTACTGGTAGGTGCCTTCACACCCCTCATTGGTTACTTTAACTCTGTCCAGAACTCTGTCAACAGTCCCTTTGTTAAGGACTTTTCCATTAAACTGAGTGGCAATCTCTTTCCTGCTGGGACCTTGACATACACACCTCTGTCACCAGAAACCCATCACTGCCACTGGGCCTCCGGCAGGCCAGGAGCTGTTGTCTGGTCCCTCCTTGGGACCTCTCCTCAGGCTCACTCTCCCAGGGCCCTCTGAGTCACAGGTTCTCTTCTTCTGGATTTCACCTCAGGCATCTAAAATCCTGCTCTCCCCAAGACCTTCCCCCAAACCAAGCTCAGCTTTGTCATTTCCTCCAGCCAGTAGCCCCTCAGGTTCATCATTGTCCCATTACACCAGAACCTGAAAGCAGATTCAGTTGCTGCACCCAGCGCTGCATTGCCCAAGCAACAGCACCTCTTCCCCAGATCTGGTACCGAGAGCGGGGCCGTGGCCCGTTGGCGGTGCTTGTGCAGAGCTGTGAGGGCCTCACGGTGCCCTCTGCCCTGGGCAGTCTCCCCACTCAGAGCCCCAGAGCAGCCCTCATCCACAGAGACGAGTGAACCAGTCCTTTATGGCCCCTTCCCTGCAGCCTCCCTGTGTGGTTGAGTGTGGTTTTACCACAGCTGGATGGTGATGAAGTTCATCAAGTGAGCCAGAAAGCGAGCACAGACACAGCCCAGGAAAGATGGGCAGTGTCAGGCCAGACTGAGCAGCCGGGGAAGTGGGGGTTAGTAGGAAACAAAGTCCTTGCCCCCTTCCCCCATCCTAGAACACCTCCTCCTACCCTTCCAGGAAAGAAAACATGTGCTCGCCCCCATTTAGTGGGTGAGTTAGAGAGGACACTCCGACTCCTAATCCTCCAGCCCCACTTCCAGGTTTTGTGGCATTCAACCACAGGCTCCAGGCTGGACACATCCGTGCCTACCCTCCATCTGGGGATGTGAGGGACTCTGGGCGTCCCGGGCCCACTGGGAGCTCCAGCCTGGCACAGGCTCAGAGGGCTGGGCTCCGGATCGGTGGGCAGCTGCTGCCACCTAGTGGTTCTGTATGAGAAGTGTCTGCTCTACACTTGGGTCCAGAGGAAGCCAGGTTGACCCCTTACTTTCTTGCTTGTTCTTCTATCTCCTGGCTTGTCTGAGGCCCAGTGGCCAAAACCGCCAGATCCATGTCTGTCTGAAGTCGGCCATACTGCACTGATGACACCCACCTGCTCTTGCACTATGGAGGAGGTGGGGGACTGAGGGATTGGTTTGTGGGAAGGGAAGGCCTGTCATCTGGCAATTGGAGGTGGCAGGAGGGGAATCAGGGCAGACGGGCCTGGAAGCTGAACTGGGAGGAGGGTAGGGAGCCACTTGGTCCCTCAGCAGGGAAGGCTCTAGACTGGAGTGGGAGGGCAAGCAGGAAAACAGCTCTCCCAGTGAGGACTTCCCCAGGGAAGAGGGCCCCTGGGCACTTAGAGCTTGGCCAGGGGTAGGGGTGGAGGGAAGGTAGAGAGGATTTAGAGGAGGCTTGTTATTCTCCCTCAGACAGACACACACACATTGTAGGAAGAGCACAGGAAGACAAAGTGAGGATGCAATGAGATTCCCACCATGGGAGCTGCTGACAAGGGGCATGGGGGTGGGGGGGAGGCAGGGGTTGTCCCCACCCCTCTGTCTCCCATCCACAGCTTCTGCACCTCCAAACACCAGGTGGCACCTGCCCCAGTTCCAGTCCAGGGTTGATAGTCAAAATTATTAAGGCCAGGCATAGGTACCCACCATCACATCAAAGATTGACCTCAGAGATGCAGTAAGGTCTTGAGCCCTGCTGGGTCACTGGGAGACCTGGGGAAGGGCTGGAGACGCTGGAGGATATTCAGGGAGACACCAGGGGCCTCAGGGCAGCAACTAACTACCAGCTAGCATGCATGTATATCAAGATTCTAACAGGAAGAGGAGTCTTGGCACAGACCAGGGAATAGCGGCCCGGCTCTGACCCTCAGGATCCTGGATGCAATCTGGCCAGCTCTCTCGGAAGCTTGGTCTCCACAGAGGAAGTAGGCAAGGGACAGTCAGGTGAGCCATGGCAGACACCCTTGGGGTGTGCCAGGCATGGGCCCCCACTCACCACCGAGAAGTTGTGAGGGCCACAGGGCCCCCCGCAGTAGGAGCAATAAAGCAGCATGTCCTCCAGCCGGTGGCAGGAGCGATTGTAGAAGCGGTGCAGGTTAAAGGGCTCTCCAGAGAAGGCCTCAGGCCCTGGTGGGGCGAGGGGCACCCCGGGGTCATCACTCTCATCCAGCCCCAGCATGGGGGCCAGGTAGAGCAAGTCAGGATAGCTGAGCTGGGACAGCCGCACGGCGTTGGTGTTGCAGAGGGTGACTGCCGGGAAGGCCAACTCTGTGGTGGCCACCTCATCTAGCAGAGTCGCATGTGGGTAGCTGAGGTAATAGGCAACACGGTCCCCTACCTGGCAAAGGAAGGCACCCAGTGCCAGGACAAAGGCCACTGCCCACAGGGCCTGCCGCGGCCCTGGGCCCCCCTCCACAAAGACGTGGCTGGTGCCATGGAGGGTGCAGCTGTTGGCAAAGGCCACCAAATCCGTGGGTGAGTCCCCCTGTCTGGCCTCCTTCCTCATTGCCTCCTTCTCCTTCTCTTCTTCTTCTGATTCTGAGTTGTCCCGTTGCTCCTGGTGGTGGGGACCCCAAACATCTCCCAAGGGCCCTGAGGCCTCCTCCCCAGAGGAAAGTGACACAGAACAGAAGATCTGGATGGGCATCTTCTCCAGGGGCTTCCTGGCACCAGGTGGATTGGCAGAAGGGAGAAGGAGGTGTGATCCCAGGCAGGGGCCAGCGGGGCCAGCTACCCAGCCCTTCTGCCAGGTCTCGGCCACCTGGCTGTCTGTCTGTCCTCTCAGGGCCTCAGAGCCAGTGTGGCTGAGGTGGGGCGGGGCGAGGAGTGGAGGACCAGCCTCCCTGCCAGGGAGGGCGGGTGTCTACACTGATGAATAATTGATGGCAGTGGGAAAGGGAGGCTGATGGAGAGGAGGGGGGCCAGAGCCCCTTTCCTGCCACCAGCTCCAGCAGGGCAGAGAGGATTGAAGACAGAGTGGAAACCCTGGGAAAACCCAGGGTCTCCAGGTGAGATGGGACCTAGCAGAGCCCTCTGCTGCCACTTCAGCCAGCAGCAGTGCCTGACCCTCCCCCAGGACACACACACTCAAGTTCCCAGCATCCGCTGGCCTCAGCACATCGTCAGCCTTCCCAGTCCGATTCTGGGTCCTCTTCCTCATTCTTACCTGAGCCAGTCATTCCTCCATACCTGAGCCCCCACATCCTCTCAGCACTCTCTCAGACTTCAAATTCCTCTGTGATTCCCCCAGTGCATAAATCCCCCCACCCCCAATCATTTCATGGACCCCCAAATTCTCCCAATATACCCCTAGACCCCAGGTCTCTCTAATTAGTCCCTTGATCTTTAGTTCCCTCCCAATCACTATCCTGACTCCAATTCACTCTGAACCCTTAAGTCCCCTGCAATCACTCCCTTGACCTCCAATTTCCGTCCAGCCAGTCTGTGGCCCCATTTATGCTCTTCTCAGTCCCTGACCTATATCCTCCTTAAGTCAGCACCATCCCCCATGCTGAGCGGTGGCGGGGTCACTTTCCCTTCCTCCACTCCCTTCTGTGGCTTGGGGGGTGGCCCAGGTTCCATTAGCAAAGGTCTCTCACTGACCACAGACTCATTTAAGGCCAGTTCCTGGCACTGGAGGGAGGGACCGGTTTCTTGCTGCTGAAAAGCTTCCTGGCAGATGACCACTGTCCAGCCCAGCCCAGCTTTCCCACCCCCTAACAGTCAGGAGAGGAATTCGAGGAATTCTCTTTTTGTGGGTGGAAGAGCGGAGATCAGAACAAAGACAGAGTCCTGGGTCAGGTGGAAAGTACTGGGAACCAACTTGGGGTGCCCCCACCAAGCCCTCAGCCTCACAGACGCCCAGGTTGTCATTCCCTGCCCCCAGGCTCCTGGCCCTCTGCGCTCTGATTAGTCAGGGCCACAAGTTGAGGAATTTGAGCCACCAGCCAAGTCTCTAGGGCCTAGAAGGTGACCTGAAGGGAGAAGGGGAAGGGAGGGAGGGAGGTGAGGCATATTAACCCTTCCTCTGCAGGGCCAGAAGAGGAGCAATAGGGTCAGACAAGTCTCCTAGGGCCTTCCCATTCCTTAAGCACCACACAACCCTAAGCCCCACTCCCCTCTTTCTCTCCCTCCCTCCCAGCTCCACCCATCTTCCTTTTACCCTGCTTGCAGAGACCCTGCAGCGTGTTGGGGATGGGAGGCAGGGTGCCAGATTCCCGCAGAACTGATTGACATGGGACCTTTGGCCTCAGTTTTGCTGCCAGGAACACAGAGGCCCCAGGAGAAGAGCTGCCTTTGAGATCTGGCCGCTGTCCATCCTTACACCACTGCCCTCAGACTGGCCTCCTCTTTTGCCTAAAGAACGGCTTTCCAACTGCTCACCCTGACTCCTCATCTCTGTCTAATCCCGCAGTTTCTCCCCACCTTATGTAA